GCCGTCCTGCAGACTCACTGCAGTGTTACCAGAGCCTGATGACCCTGAGACCCTTGCTCCTTTTCTTCCGAAGGTGACTCTCTCTGCAGAACCCTCCTTCCAGCCCTTTCTGGTGCCACCCAACTGCTGAGATTCCTAAGTGAAGGAGAGCCAGGAATTCCGCGGGGTGCCCTCCACCTCTGCTGCCCTCTCCCCCGCCCTCCTTCGGTGGCACTATTCCTCTCTCCCTGGCTCTTTTCCCTGCCTGTTGCTCTTATTTTATCCCCTTTGTGTTGTAAAGGAGAAGGGGGAGATCTCTGGTGATAAACCCTCAGCTCCCAGACGCATCCTAATCAAAGTGGAGGATCCAGACGGATGTCTCATTCTAGGAGAACTAAAATATTCGCTTTGGTGTTTCACTCACAGCGGGCAGATTAAGGACACTGACATCTGTTGGGAAACATAATTGTCACTGTTCAGTTCCATGATCCCAAAGAGCTGCCTTCTCTGACGTTACAGAGAGTGACCTTGAGCTGCCCAAGAAAAATGCTGTGTCTTTTCTAATGTTCTTGGCGACCAGAATTCCCCTGGGTGCCACTGCGTCAAGGATGAATAAGATCAAAAGCAGCGAAAATCATATCTTTCAGTGTGGAGAGGGAGGGTGTGGGGCTGTATTTTATGTGGTTCGGGAGCCAGTCTGTTTTTTGAAGATGCTTTCTTTCTGAGGAGGAGAAGTTAGGTTTAAAGAATCACTGTCCTGTACTAACAACACCCCAGCCCAGAACAAAGGGAAGCAGGCGAGAACTGCACTGGGACTGCCCTCCACCCTGGCCCTTTGTTATGTTTGTGGTAAATGTGAGTCGGTGGCACCCAGTAGGCACAATGGTCCCCTCTACAATGTGTCCTTGTACCTTTAGGACGGATCACTACTGCCCTCTTCCTGGCACCCAGTAGGCACAATGGTCCCCTTTACAATGTGTCCTTGTACCTTTAGGACGGATCACTACTGCCCTCTTCCTGTCCCCGGTCCCTCCCTCTTCACTCAGGTGCCCGCTTGAGCCTCTGTCTTCCTCCGCCACTCTCTGTCCCCCTTGGATTAGTGGGCTTTTACTGAGTCTTTCAACCATCACCACTCGCTGCACAATGACCTCACCTTTCCTCCCTGGGGGGCCCAAGGGGAGACTTTCCAAACTGTGGCCCAAGAACAGCAGGACCAACACTGCAGGTGGGAGGAATCACCACAAGATGGCATGCTGCAGAGTTTACTCAGATACTGGCTTTGATGAAAATTTTCTCTTTTTAAATCACTGAAAAGCACTATGAGAAGTGATGTACTCTGGACCTCTAGAGATTCTATATTTCTTATTCATATCAATAAAAATTTTTGATCTCTCATTCCCATTTACTTATTTGTAAGTGTATAGTTACTACTATTGCTTTGTTCCAAATATTGAAAAATGTATAAACATATGTCTAGATAGTTTGTATTTCCATTCCCATAAACTTTCTAATATTTCTTTACAATATAAGGGAGGACCTATAATAGAGCTCAGTGGGACAGTACCTACCTGAAAACCACAAGGTCATGAGTTTGATTCCTGGTAACAAAACAGAGAAACAAACAAAAAACCCATTTACAATATAAGGGATCATTTTATGTACTTCCCAAGGAGATCACTGGTCTAGCTCATATTTTCCCTTCCCCAGAAGGACCTTTTTGTGCTCAATAAAAAAAAAAAAAAAAATTCGAGTACCTATTGTATACCTAGCATTGTGATAGGGGCAATAAATGATTTGAAAGGGAACAAAACATGGCCTCAATCTACAATTTTCTTATACTAAAGCTGTAAAGGCAGAGATAACAGTAGAAATGAAAGAATATACAACAGTAGGCAACATCAGCCAAGACACTTAGTTGCAAACAATATAATCTACTCTTCCTATTTCAAGCAAGAAAAAAAAAAAAAGAAAAAGAAATTAGATGTCTTACAGATTCTTTCGCAGGACCAGTAAATCAGAGCTGGCTAGTGTGCAGCAGCCAGGGGGACTATCAATCGCTTAAGGTCTGTTGGGGTGGGGGTGGGGGTGTCCCTAGTGCAGTTGTCCGCTGTGCTCCACAGATAACATCAGGACCATGGATTGTAACCCATTCTAGAAATACCAGGGAATGCAGGCCTCAGCTGCCTTGCTGCTGAGCAGCAGAGACAGCTCAGCTCCTTGCAGACTGTGGCTTACTAGCCTGGCTCACTTCCTCTATCTCAGTAGCAGGTAGCTGCATCCAGAATTGGGAAACAGCTTCCCTCCGACTCTCCTGTGTCTGTCCTGGGAAAAGGAACAGCAGAGTGGAGTCTGAGGAACTCAGTGCATAAGATTTGCCACAGCGTGGCAGTGTCCATGGAGAAGGGAGGTGGAGTGAATATCCACGTGGGCTGCTCCAGGAGGCCAGGTCAGGACCTGCCAGTTGCCAACCTGAACCCTAGGTGGATCTCTGCACCAGGCAGCAGTGGGTTTCTACTACAAAAGGCAAGCTGTGAGGCGCCTTCTACGGAGGCAGTTTCCCCTTAGTCCAAAGTTTCTCCTGAGTCTGTTCTCCCACTCTCAACTGCACACGTTACTTTCATTCCCTCCTGCATTTTAATTCCAGATTTTCCTTTGTCTCTGTTTTTAGATTCCTGCCTGGCTTTTGAGTCCAGTTCTGTATGGGCCTCCATTTCTTCCTGTTCCCCAGCTCCTCTTTGCAAACAAATACTTGATTCATGAGTTCATCTGACATTTGGCTCTTAGCCTATCCCCTGGCTTGCTCCTAGGCTCCCTAGACCATGCCTGAGTCTCAGCTTAGACCTCATTTCCTTACTCTGCAGACTCAGCCTCAGCCACGCACTGAAAGGAGTGGAGTCCAGAGACCTGAACTGTACGGAGAGCTGGAAGAAGGCATTTTCAGCGGGGATGACTGAGGGTGAACAAAAAAGAAATAAACAGCTACAACTAATAGCAGGAACATGAAAGAGCCACTGCAAGCAGGAAAACAAAAGATTTTTTTTTATTGAAGTTAGCATTATGATTTACCAAAAGCTCAGTAACCCTTGATGTTGTGCTTATACTCACATGTCATTACACAAAATACCAAAAAATTGGTTTACACATCTAAACATTTATTTCATTCCTGTGAAATTCAAGCTGATATTGTAGCTCTGGTCCTCAAAGTTGTCAAGAGTCTAAGCTTCCTAGTGCACCCTTCCCATCTCACAACCTTCACCAGACATTGCACACTTTACTCCTTATAACCAATTGGTCAGAGAGTAGTTGCCTGGCCCCACCTACCTGTAAGAGGAGCTGCAAGGTACCAGGCTAGACCCCTGTCATTATAAAGAAAGGATGAATACCGGAAGACAACCGACATTCTTCCACATATGTGGGGCATTATTTCAAATCTGCAGGAGCAGGACTTGGTGAAAAATGGGCTAATGTATCTCAGAATGACATTGATCAAAGCAGTCCTTTCTGGTGACAATTGCCCTGAGGTCATTGTAACTAATGACTTTCTAGCTGACACCACAGTTGATGTCATATATGGATTCCTCATATGGGACCCAATGAAGTAGACGACAGAAAGCAAAATTGATGTGTATCACCCCACTCAGCCGTTGATGACAGCTAGTAAAGCCCCACAGCACTTCCAATATCACTAGACTGGGTTCAAGTCCCAGCTCTCCCATTAACCGCCTGCATGCCCCTGACAAACTCATCCCCCCACCATTCTTCCACTTCCTCATTTGTAAACAAGGCAGTACTTGCCTAAAAGAATGATCTAAGGATTAAATTAATTTACATGCCTGTTAGAAATAACATGCCTCATCAATAAACACTATTTATGACACCATTAACAAGGAAGTTATTTAAAACTATCCAAGAAAAGCTTCTGATTTAGGTGATAACAATATTTAGACCAAAAAAAAAACAGTGAGTGATATAAAATGTATGTAATTTAGGAAGAGGTACAAAAGGTCTCATCCAGAAAGTTCAGAGAAGTCAGAGGAAAGCTGTCAGACATTTGAGGACATAGAAAATACCCACTCCCCCCGGGAAGAGACAGGTAGAGTACGTGCATAGTAGAAAGGATAAGAGCTACGGATAGGCATGGGTCAAGACCCAGTACACACACAGTTTCTGCATCCGTCTGCAAAGACCCTTCCTGCCAATCCACCCTGCAGCTCTGTATGAGCTCCACCTGAAGACAAATGCAGGCTAGCAGTAGCCCTATTTCTGACATTCAGAGATTTAGAAAATGGGTAGCTATTGAAGTATTTTAAAAAGGAGAGTGGCATTGTTTGATTTAGGTGGTTGGAGGATAATTATGGCTATAGACTGCTACAGAGCATGCTACCTCTGACCACAAGAGTAGTAAACTGGACTCTACACTGAGGTCACTACTGAGGTCCTTCCTATTCTGTGAGACTCCAGATTCCTTCCCACCTACAGGGACTCTGAATTTCTTCTCATTTACTCCCACAAGGTTACATCCCATTCCAGTCTTGTTTGCATGCTAAGCCCTGTACCAGAATCACAGCACTGCCCTTCATTCTTACAGCTACACATAAATTAGAAACTGAGAACCAGAGAGAGGTTAAGAAACACACTCAAAGCTACACAGCTACAGAAGTAGAATTTGAGAAAAAAGTATGTTTTGTTTGTCTCCAAAGCTCTTGCTTTAACCACTGTATTAGTTGTTTACAAGTCGATGTAAACAGCGAAGAATCAAACTCTCTTAGCATCCCTATATAATAAAGCCATGTAGGAGCTTCAAAGTTCTCAATTTTCTCCTTAACCTTCCTGACCAAAAAGCTATGGATGAATCAAGGCTTCTTGTTCCAGACAGTAGTCAGCTCACAGTGATGCAAATGTAATTTAGAATGGCTCAAGCGGGAAACTCAAATGGCCCTTGGAACTTTCAACTCTGCTTTTGATCCCAGCGGGTCGTAAGGTCTTAGTCACTTGCTCCTCTCTGCTTCTCTCTAGTGACTTCATATGCAGTTAACTTCTCTCCCAGTGCCTGCAGGGGAAGCTAACACCACCTCCAGTTTACATCTCACCTGCTCAGCCACCCCCGCGGGAAGAGCATGTCTCATCCTGGATTCACACACAGCAAGTGGCTGCAGAGGGGGAAATGAGCAGCACCCAGGTATGTGGTCTGAGAATGGAAGAACAACATCCACTGAAGGAAAAAGGGACACTGTGAAGAAATGGATGGTAAGCTGTGGAAATGTGTTTCTAGAAACCCATAGAGTTTTCTATGTCTGCTACTTAGACCCAACAAGAGTACATTGGCTTTGCTTTTCTGATAATTTCTGGCCCTCTCCAATGAAAATGAGTGATAGGCCTGTTTTTCAGGACTGAGATTGAACTCAGGTCCCTGGCATGCCAGGCAAGCACTCTGCTACAGAGCTACATCTCCAGCTCTGCTAGCATATTGGTTTATTTTTGAGACAGGATGGAATTTGCCCAGGGGCTTGAATTTGAGCCCCTCCTGTCTCAGCCTCCCAAGTGGTGAGAAATACACGTGTGCACCATTGCACCCATTTAATTTGAGGCTTTTCTTGGTGTGAGTTGTCAGCAAAAATAATCTGAATTTCTTTTTTCAGTTTCATGGGTTTCAACATAAGAAAGTAGTTGAAGAGAGCCAGAAGAAAGTGCAATCACGGATTTTGTGAGAAATTTTAAATAATACAATTAAATAGTTGGAAATTTAGTCAGAAGACAGTAATGAATGTGAAAGATGAGGTTATTTAGTTCACCAAAGATCTGAAGACAAAATATGAGTTGAGTCAGAGGTCAGAAAGGGAAGGGAAATTGTTTAAATCTGAAAGGTCAAAGACAAAAGTCCTAGTCAATGATGGTTGATTCAATAAAGTGGAAATCCATCAGTTTCATCAAGAACTTTATGTTATAAATGCTAGGATAGTAGGTTTGTTGCTTTCCCCACCATGACAGGTGACAGGAAATGCTAAACAATAAAGAAAAGGAGTGTACTGTAGTAACTGGCTCCTCCATCACCATGACAACGTCACAAGTGGAAAGTAGGTAGTTGATAACATTACAATCTAATTATCTTGCTCCTACATACTCATCATTTTTTCAGTCTTCAGAACAATGACAATAAACTTTTAAAATTTATTTCATTTTATACAGATTTGTCTTTAAAGTTGCTGGAAACTGTAGGTGCTATTTCATTTAGTATTTAATTCAGAGATAATAAACTATTCAGAGAACTTTTTAGATGATGTGAGAGAAAAATAAGAAAATGACTGCTTTTCCATATTTGGGTTAACAGTGCTGTATGGGGTTGGAATGATTCTGCTTTTTCTATGGTTTGAACAATTATTCCCAAGATTTGGTTCTCTGCCATGGTGGGAGGTGGTGGAATCTTTAAGAGGTGTGGCCTGTGGGGAGATCTGGAGGTCCCTGGAGGTGTCATTTGAAGGTCTTTTCTCTCTTTCTCTCATTTTGCTCTCCATCCAGGAGATGAGCTGTTTTTCTCTGCCACACTTACCCCGTCATGATGTGTGGCCATGCCACGAGCCCTAAAGCAACACGAACTGGGGCCTCTAAAGCTGTGGACCAAGACAAACCCTTTCGCTTCATGAGTTAGATATCCAGGCATTTGCTATACTGACAGATGGCTGACTAATGCAATTCTCCAACTGTATGTAGAAGTAGCTCAAAGGGAATCATTTCTGCCCACTACTGCCTAGCGTAGAAGATGAGCATTAAACATTGCATGTTCAGATACTATCTCAGGACCTGGTAGTTCAAATGATTTTATAATAATAATAAATACACAGTCCCATTCATTCCATCATAATTGCCACCATTATCAATATCATCAAAATATTTTGTTTGCTAAATGTTTTCTATGTCCTGTTATATTACATACAAATCCAAAGATTAGAAGCCTTACACTACTTGTTGAAATTGGGGAACTCAAGGAGTAGCAGAATTGAGACTGGTGTGGTTTTCCTGGTCAGCACCCCATATCAAAAATAAACAAACAAACAACAGATTAACTGCTTACTGAGTCTAATACTGTTATGGTATTCTAAAGCCAAATAGTTTACTCTTGTCTTTGGTCACTGAAGCACTAATTCAAAAAGGTAACTGAATAATATCATGTTCTTCAGCTATTAAAAGTACAGCTCACAATATATACAGTTGAGAATCAACATTATCTTTCTTAAATGTGGAGCCAAATCTATGACTATTTTCATGAAGTTACAGTGCCTGAGAATTTAATTATTGGTTTCACATTATGTGCAAGATACTGAACTACTAGTTCGGGAGAAGAATTATGGTTAAATATAGCCATTGTTTCAAAAAGCTCACAATATAGAGCAGGGGGAGTGGGAGCTCAGAGAAGCACTCTATGAATAAAGCAAGCCATGATTAAAACAATACCATAAAAGAGCTATAAAATGTTACAAGTGTTCCAAGAGAGTGAATACTTCTTCCATTTGTGGAAAAGCTTCACACGGGCTATACCACTGACATGGCCCTGGTAGGTTTGGCAGGATATCAGCATGCACAGGGGCAAAGAAAAGAGCTTTCTGGAGAATAAGAAAAGCCGAATGATGTGAGAGCTTACAGCACTTATACAAATGTGATGAATGAGATGTCCCAGTTGGAGTGGAGAGAGCGAATGCGCATGGGTTGTCATGTATGACTAGAAACAGGTTTGAGAGATTTTGCAGAATCTTGATGGCCAAGATAAATGTGGGTCTGGTTTTCTAGACAAACAATAGAGCAGGCAGTAATTGCATTGGACCAAAAGAACAATTCAGTTAGAAAGGAGATGATCGATAATGAAGATGACAACTAACAAAGTAGTTAAGCCAGTGCTTCTCAAACTTTAATATGCCAATTGTGCATCTTGTTAAAAGGCAATTTCTGCTCAAGAGAACTTCTGTCTCAGGTTGGTGTTGCTGGTCCATGGACCACACCTGCTAGGAAAAATGGTAGTTGAGATGGATCAGCTCAGTGGTACAAAACACTTAAAACACCAATTCTGTAAAGTTCTTTTGGAAATCAATTTGTTCTAAGACTTCCTTATTTTTAAACCAGAATTCAAAATCATGTCTATATACAATGATTAATAAGACAACCTTGGCCATTTTGCCATCATTTGTTATTCCCAGGGAGTTCTTTGCCCAGATGCTTTTTTATTCTTTTGCATTTTCAACTAGAAATGAAATTTCCACCTTCATTTCCTCCTGTCTCCCCATTTTAACTCTTTAAATGCAATCTTAAAGAACAGGAAGAAGCAGAGGACTAAATGAGGTCATTTAAGCAATTTGTGGATTCAGCAGCAGATTTTGTTATCTTAAAGGAAGCAGCAAACATGTGGGTGTATAAATAGAGGTGTGGAACACAAGTTCACAGAAATGTATTCTCTCGCTGTATACAGAGGAGCTCACATTTGGAATGCAGGGCTCAAACCTGGTTGCCTCAGTGAGAAGTGGGCTACTGGTTACACTCAGGACAACTTGAACAACTTAGGCCTTTCTGTCACCCGCTGGGGACCAGATGCTGAGATTTCAGCCTCTAGACCAAATTCAACTGAAGGCATTTAATAGCAACTGAAGTCTTACAGACTGAGGCAGGAAATACGGCTGAGAACTGCAAACTGGGTCAAGCAGGGGACTAGTAAACCTCCTGAAATAACGGATTTTTTCAAATGTGTGTAAACTTCAGATTAGTCATTTTCAAAAGGAAAGCAAGTATTCTCAAATGGTAAGTTTGCTGACTCTAAAGCAGGACATATAAAAAATAATGTAAGGAGAACTATAGGATCAAATTTAAGCCAGTGATACACACCTCACCTCCATAACACCTAACCTTCCATTCCTCACCCTTTGGGGATATGTTTGCTGTCTTCTGCCCACATGGAATGATGAAGGCAGAAGCAAACTGACCCACTCGCAAAGAAATAGATTGATTTACCACTTTTACAGTTTTATAGATTGTCTATGGTTTTCTGATGTGATGGACTGAACAGATACAGCAATGTTCATTCATAAGTCTTGGTCAGTCTCCTGTTCAGTGTTCACTTACACAACAAATCAGAGACAATCTAGAGCAAGTTTAGAATGGTTACACCTACACTTTCAAATTCCCCATTAAACCTTCTCTTTCTTATAATGGTGTTTTGTTATGTTATGTTTGTTTGTTTGTTTGGTACCAGGGATCAAATTCAGGACCTTGTACTTGCCATGCAGGTGCTGTACCACTGAGCCATTTGTCTGTCCCATAATGGTGTTCTTTTGTGAAGAAAGAAATAAAATCTTTCTTATTTCACCTGAATGTTTACTTTAAGGAAACTTAAAGGATCAGAAAAAGAAAATATGATAAAGTGAATAAGAATCATTCTTATGTCAGATTAAAATGTATGAGGCAATACATTCATTGATAGAGCATGAACATTTTTATTAAAGACTGCGTTTATGGCAGGTAGTTGCTCGTGAGACCTTCAGCCTTTGAAAGGAAGTTTACTACTGAAGAAAATAATACCAGAAGGATTGGAAGCCTTTGCCCTATGGAATCTTTCCCAGTACAAATACTGTACAACCAATCCTTCTTCAACCCTGGACTCCAGAAGCAGCCTTCTACAAAAAGATCTGTAAAAAGAGAGACCACTGGACAGGGAGAACCCAGAAAAAATAGAGACTGAGTTTTCGCTACTTGATGCTTAGACTTCTGGGGGTTCTCAAGACCCATCCAGACTCTATCTTGGCTTCGTGAGCCCCAGATTCACCATCCTCCCTACCCTCTTGCTGGTGCCTGATGATGCAACTCTGCAGGAGATTTCATGACACACAGCTAGAGACTAAAATTCCCATCACCAGCCCTTGAATATCTAGTCTTCTGTGTATATTACTGAAAGTGACTAGCTACTTAACTAAAATATGAAAAGAAAGGAAGGAAACTGAGGGGAAGGAGAAGAGAAAGCAAGAGGGACACAGGCCCTGAAAAAAAAATCTTTAGAGGCTCAAGAATTTATTCGTGAATAGATGTTTACCAACATGCGTGTCAAGCAAAACCCCTGACTGATCAAGAATAAAGATAAAGAATAAAAGTAAGCATAAATTATCATTTTTAAAAATTTTATCCCAAAATAGCAGCTATATTTTTAGTATATTTCCTCATTAATTTTCAGATATGCAAAGTTCTTCTTTGACCTTCAATTTCCTGAACTCACAGCTCAGTTTTATTCTATTTTCCTGTGTCTTTTCATTAAGAGAAAATGAGTCTTTCAGGTAAAGGACATTGTTTTTTAAATAATTTGGTAAATATTTAGAAAAGCACAAAAAGAATCATTCATTTGCTTCTTATCTCAACCCCCTTTCCTTCTCAGTCTAACCCCAAATCGGGAACACTAGATGAATTTTTTTCAGTACTTGAGACATAGGAATGCAATAGAGATATAACATTCTCTCATATCCCAGCGGCATTGCTGGGATAAAGAAAACAATTGCTTTAAGCATATATATTGCTTTTTTTTGTTGGCCATTCCCCTGCTACTCAAAATCTTTGATATCATAATTTAGAATTCAGTTTGCATCACTGGTGAGCACTGTCATTTGAAATCGATCTTGTGAGTAGTCACAGGGAGAAGACGCTCAGTGTGTCTCAGCACAGTGGTTCTCAGCTAAAATGCACGTAGAAGTCACCATGGTAACACAGGCAGGGTTATTAATGGCATTACTGTTTCCTTATAAAGTGATGCTACAGAAAGGCCTGGAGTTTTCAATCTCATCTTCTTCTACATCTATTAGACTCCTTGCACATCTTGATATTAGAAGCTACATTCTTCCTCCTAATATCTGGACAGCATTGAGCACACTGGGAGATGTTATATGTATGACATATATCAGTGAGTCACTAGCTGATCATGAGACCCATCCTGAAACACTATACATGACTAAAATGGAGTCTCAGGATAGAAGAGGAATCCAATACTGGAAATTAGTTTTCCAAATTACAATCTTCTAATCACTGAAACAAATTACTCAAAAGTAGAAAGACCTTAGATTATGTGTGGCATAACATCATGCTCCTAATATGCCTTGATATTTTTCTTTGCATCAGTGTCAAAATTCTAAAGGCTACAAAAGTTTCTTGTTACCAGTAAAGAATGAATTGTGACTCAGGAGAAGGGAACTGTGCATTTGAAAACTGACATGGTTTGCTTTCATCATGAGCTATAATCTCCCTTATGCCTCAGTGGAAGAAAAAAATACCTAAATCATAGCCTCTAAGATGGTTCCCAGTGATTCTCACATCTTGGCGTTCATGCCATTCCATAATCCTCTCCCTTTACTTGTGAGCTGGACATCACGACTCTCTTGTATAATCAGAATACAGCCAAAGTGATGGGAAATCACTTTTGAGAAAAACTGCAAAAGGCTGGGTCTTGCTTGCTCTCTCTTGGTTGCCATACTCATGCCGAGGAAGCCACCTGCCATGTTGCTAGTTGCCCTGAACTGAGTAGGGCCACCAGGCAGAAAGAAGCAAAAAAAGGAGGCTCGTGTAGTCCAGCAGAAGCTGAACCCTGCCAGCAAGCGTGATTGTGAGCTTGGAAATGAATTCCCTACCTCCCCTAATCCAGCCTGCGGGTGGGACCACAGCTCTGTCTGATTCTGTCTAGAGCCTTGACTGCAGCACAGTGGCAGATCTTGAAGCAGATGCACTCAGCTGTGTGATGTCAGGAGTGCTGACCCGCAGAAACTGTGAGGCTGTAAATAGGCTTTCTTCTTCTTTTTTTTTTTTTTAAGTCTATGGAGTCCACTAATAACATGAATGCCAGAAACACTACTCTTTAGTATTCATTTTGAAGTTGCATTTTTTCAAATGTTTGTGTCTTGATCCACTTTAATGGTTATTAATTAAATAGACATGCACTGAGCCACGATCAGAATTTTTCAATGGAGTGGAATGGAATGGAATTATCAGAACTCATAAATGCTATTGAGTATTACAAACTTTTATTTCAAATGTATATTTCACATACTTTAAGAATGTATGATATAAAATATATTTACTAGGAGTTGGCCAAAAATGTTTTAAAAACATAATCCTTAATAGAAATTATACAAAATAAGAAAATCAGTTGAACTCCTTTCTCCTTCTCTTGCCAAACTGAACCAAACTTTAAGATCTGGCTCAAGGCTTTACCTTTTTTTTTTTTTTTTTTTTTTGTCTTACTCTTTTTTAAGAAAAAAAAATGTCCCTTCACTACTACAGCTCCTCTAAGAATAAAAGGCCTACAAGGGCCCAGGGAAATAGTGCACTACCTTGCAATAAATCACATATATTAAGCTGAATTGTCATTTATGATTGAGCAGGGGCAAGTGTTTCTCCTGAAAGAACTGGAAAAGAATTGAGGTGAGGAGAGATTAGGGTGGGGGCTGAGAGCTCCCCATTCTGTGTCCCCCATAGGATGCACGGTGGCAGGCCACACCAGGCAGAGAGGCACGGGGTCACTTTGGTGACAGAGGTTTGTTGTGAGAGGAGCACAACAATGCTAAGTAGCACTGTAACTGAGTCTACAGCAGGCTGAGAAATGACCCCAAAAGACATTCTTGTCCTAACTCCTGGGACCTGGAATGTTACTTTATATACAAACAAGATTTTTGCATATAAATTTAAGAGTTTTGAGATTGGAAGGTTTTCCTGGATTATCAAAGTGGGTCCTACATTCAATTATATTCTCTGGCTAGAAGGAGGCCAAGGGAGGTGTGAGATGCACAGAAGAGGAGGCAATGTGGCCGTGAGCTAGAGATTGGATGATGTCAGAAACCAAGAAGTACTAGAAGCCACCAGAACCTAGGCAAGGATTCTCTCGGAGAGACTAGAGTAGGGCCACCTTGCTGACACCCTATCTTTGGTCCAGTGATACTGAATTTGACCATCTGTACTCTAAAACTGGGAGATAACAAAGTCTTACTATTTGCACAACTAAATTTATGTGATTCTTAACAGTAGTCATAAGAAATTAATACATACCATTTTTACCTTTGACTTCTAGAATATTCAACATTATATAATATACTGTATGCCTCTTTTATATTACGTTTTTTTTTAACATCTTTTAGGAAAACAGCCTAACATACAGTGGGCAACTTTCTTCTCTGGGATTAGGTGGGGTTGGCTTCTTTCATATGGCCATGCTTAGAGGGCAGCCTTCTTAACAATACTCTTGATCTTTCATATACTCTTAGCAATACTCTGACCTTTCATATCTGTGCAACTTGAGATATTCTTGGCATGCCAGTCTGAATCAGGTTCCCTAGGAATAATAGTTTGAGACAGGGACTCTTGCTCGATAACTGAGTGGGGATTTCTTCTTACTCAGGGGAAATCTAAGCCAGATAAGATCTTATGCCAAAAACTAGCATTGGTCTATTTCTGTGTATAGATTTTGTATCACAAAGTCAATTCCACTTTGAAGCAAAAAGTCCAGGCTTTTCATACACAGTCTATAATTCAGAGTCTGGGAGGCAAGGGTGGGTGTGGGAATGGAGGGTTCGGGGTGGGCAGGGGATTAGAGCCTCCCAGTAACTGGTTCCATAGGCTTCCTATAAATATAATTAAAGAAAACCACATATGACAAGCATTTTATGAACAATTAACCATTAATAGTTTTTTGTATGAATAATCAATTTATAACAATTAACCATTAGAATATATTGTCAGGACAAATTTAGGTTAATTGTAATGGATTCGCCAAATTACAGTGAGCAAGGATTGTTTACCAGCTCTGAATGTGATTTCTGGGTTCCCTTAGCCTGTGGCACAGCTTGGCATCTTGGAAAATCTCAGTTATTTTGCGAAAACAAACGTGACTCAGTAGACCAACAGTACAATTTTATTCTAGAAGAGAATGCTTTCAAGAAGTCATTACATAAGGATAGAAGGGACTATGTCCTGTTAGGCCCTTGGAGTGACCTTTCCATACAGAGAAAATCTACAAACCTTGCAGGAGATTTCTGGGAAATTAAAACTTGAGTCAAGCATGAAGGCATGATCCAAATGTAACTTACAAGAAAATGAGGCTGATTTCTTTGTTCTTTAAATAAGGAAGGTGAACCAGCAGTGCATCCAGAGAAGTGTGACTTTCAGCCTTGGGGGGGGAGGTCATGACCTTTAAAAACTAGATTTTGATCATACTTCTGAGAAACACCTTGAATACAATACTTCTGAGAAACACCTTGAATCTCAGAAAATTCCTGGTGAGTTTTCCCAGTATTTCCAAATCATGAGAGACTATTGCTGCATTTGCTGAAGTCAGCTGGGAACAGCAGCCCCGACAGTGAAGAATGAAAACCATATGGTCATGGAATGGCTGACCACACCTGCCCAAGGTCCAGAGACCCCAGTCTTGAATTCCTTTGCTTCATAAAAGAGAAGTGAACTAGGTTTGCTGGTATATACATGAAACCCAGCTACTCTAGAGGCAGAGGGGAGCCTTGAAAATTTGGAGAGACTGCCTCAAACTAAAGGGAGGGCCAGGTTGGGGATATAGCCCAGAGGTAGAGCACACCAAGCTCAATCTCTAGTACACAGGTAAATAAAAGAGCAAGAGACAGAGATGGACAAGGAGTGAAAGAGGGTCAGATAATGGCTGGAATAGCATTGCAGGCTCATTTAAAAACAACAAAGTATCAAAATATCATTCAATATTACCATTATTTCCTAAATAAAAGGTATTTGAATACCAAAAAGAAAGAAGCATCTAATGCAAGAAAAGAAGTCTTTTAAGTTCAATGGATTTATTTATGGCAAAAATTCATTACAGAATGCTTATTTTTTTATTTTGCCTTAATTCAATACTCAAAGAGTACTGATAGCCACTCTGTAAGATCATTTGTGCTCTGTCTTTGTACCCTTCTTATACAATTTGAAAGGAATTGGGGTCCTTCCTAGTCAGTTTAAATAAAAAACAAGCTAAACACCTGTCCCAGGTACAGTCATGAAAACTTTTAAATCAATCATTCCCAATTCCAGTTTTTTGGATACCCTCAGGAATTTCTAATAAAACTTAATAAAAGCTAATTAAAGTTTAGCTTTTGTTGTAAAAATTGTGTCTGTTTCATTTCACACTTTTAGAAATAAAGATGAATGCCAAGTTTGTTCAACATTTATTGAGAACCTGACTCCATGTCTGCTGCTATGCTGAAATATGAGGATACATGTGTGTGTTTCTTCTAGTTTTTCAAGGTAAGGTATTATTCACATATCATACAACATAGCACTTTTCACAACACAATTCTAGAACTTATTTATTTATTAAGGAAGTGGTTTATAAATAAATCGACTTTTTGAGACAACGTCTCGCTATGTAGTTCTGGCTGGCCTTCAGCTCACTATGTAGCCCAAGTTGGCCTTGAACTCAAGACAGTCTCTTGCTTCAGCCTCCCAAGTGCTGAGATTGCAGGCATGCACCACTATGATATCCTAGAAGTCTTGGTAACACAAACTGTGTAATCATCACCATAATTCTACTGCCTCAGAATTTCTTGTCCTTGCAACTGATCCATTATGTACCTCAAGCTACTGCAAACTGCTGTTCTGTTTTCTGACTCGGAAATGCTTTGTCTTTTTGTAAATACAACTTCATAATTATGATGGTATTTATAATATCTTACATAGTAATCTAATTTTTCGTATTAGTGGAATTATATGAGCTCGGCTTCTTTTGCCCAGCATTCTTCTATTGCGTGAATCAGTAGACCCTGTCGTCCTTACACTGAGTCCCCTATGGTTTGCCTTTCCATTCACAGGCTGAGGCACACTGAGGGAGTAAAGAGATCATAAATGAAGCTCTCACCAGCATTTGCATTCAGGTTATTGTGTAAATGCCGAGTTTTCATTCCTCTTGGGTGGATGTGTAGGAGTGACGTATCTGAGTCTCAGGATCATTTATGTTTAACTTTGTAAGAAACTTACCAGCTGCTTTCTGAAGTGATTGTCATTGTTCATTCTTAACAGCAGTGTTGGGAAATAATAGTTGCTCCGCATCTCTGTCACTACTTGGTAATGTTGACAACTAGTTTTTGAAATGTATGTAAGCCTGTTTCTGTGTGTGTGTGTGTGTGTGTGTGTGTGTGTGTGTGTGTGTGTGTGTGTGTGTAAGAGAGAGAGGGGAGGGGAGGGCAGGAGAGGAGAGGAGAGGAGAGGAGAAGAGAGGATGGACAGGAAGGAAGGTAAGGGGAAAGGAGAGGAAGGGAGGGGAGAGGTGAGAAAGGGAATGAAGGGAAGGGAAAGAAAAGGAAGGGAAAGGAAGGGAAGGGAAGGGAAGGGAAGGGAAGGGAAGGGAAGGGAAGGGAAGGGAGGGGAGGGGAGGGGAGGGGAGGGGAAGGGAAGGGAAAGGGAAGGGAAGGGAAGGGAAGGGAAGGGAAGGGAAGGGAGGGGAGGGGAGGGGAAGGGAAGGGAAGGGAAGGGAAGGGAAGGGAAGGGAAGGGAAGGGAAGGGAAGGGAAGGGAAGGGAAGGGAAGGGAAGGGAAGGGAAGGGAAGGGGAACTTAAACACTTTCTCATAGCTGGGATATAATAGCCCATAATGACAACTTAAAGGAGGAGTGTTTGTGTTTTGGTTTACAGTTGCAGAAGGGCTTAGTGGAAGAAAGCTGTTCATTCCACGACAGCCAAGAAGCAGAAAAAGATGGGAGAAGCCATGGCAGAAGATGCATCCCCAGTGACCTACTTCTTCCTACCCTCCCTTCTACTGCACACACAGCCACACTCACAGTGAGTGAATCTGAGAATGTGCACGGTACGGCAGATTCATCACACAATATGTAATCTCTGTGCCTATTTTTTTAAACTTAGCATAATGCTTTGGAGGTTCAGATGTGTTACAACATACAGTAGTACCTCATTTCTTTGTACCGCAGAATACTACCCTACTGTGAGGGTGTACCACATTTTGTTTATCCATTTTTTTGTTGGTGGATATTTGGTGGATTCCCATCTTTTGGTTATTGTGAATAATGTTGCAATAAAATCTTTCTGTACAAGTTTTTGTTTGAATATGTGTTTTCAATTATTCTGATTATAATGAATTGCTGAATCCTATGATAATTGTTTAATATTTGTGTGTGATATTAGGGATCTAATCCAGAGCTTCATAATGACCTATATATCCACAGTGTATTTTATATTTTTTTTAAAAAATATTGAGACTGGATCTCACTAAATTGCAAGTTGCCCAGGCTAGTCGGAAATTTATATTCCTCCAGTCTCAGTCTCCCAGAGATGACAAGTGTGAGCCACCACGCTGAGTTTTCGCCTAAATCCTTGAGGTACTGCCAAGCTGTTTTCCAAAACATGTAAACCATTTCATATTCCCGTCAGCAATATATGAGACTTACAATTTTCACACATTTTCAACAATTATTATTTTATATTTTTTAATTAAATGTAATTATTATGGCCACCCCAGTGGGTGTTTTTTATTTTCTTAATGACTGATAAAATATATTTTCATGTGCTTGCTGGTCATTAATGCTTTTTAATTGGAGATTTTAGATCCTTTGCCTAGAAACAATGTAAGGGTCCCTGAAAGCACAAATATAAAATCCCTGGTAAGAGAATTTCTTTAAAATTTGAAAAACTTTACTCATTGGAAATGGACACCATTGAGAGAGAAGGAATAATTTGATGAATTATAATTATAATTTCCAATCACTGAATCACTGCCCATATACTCAAAGGTATATGACCAAGAAGTTTGAAGAGTTAAGATTCTAAAAGGAATTGTTGAAAGGAAGGAAGGAGAGGTATGAAGGACAAGTGCAGGCTGGTCTGAGCTATACTCAGTCCAATGGGAGCGTATCTCTCTGTGGGGGTCACCCAATTCAAGATGGAAAAGTGGGCAAGGTATGTTCAATTGCAAAACAGAGATAATATGGCTCAGAATTTATTAATTTGATAGGTTTTCATTTTAGAGCATCCAATACACAAAATCAGGTCATATGATTGAAATTAAATGTATGCATCAGAATGTAAAATCAAAATAGCATGGACCAATTCCCTGTAATAAATGTGATCAATATGCACTGAATAAAATTTTTTAAAATTAAAACAAAGATTCTTCAGATACAACATGTATGAGAAGGAGGCACATTTTCAGACCTAAGCAATTTTATAGCAAGAGGCCTTGGAAAAAAGATATTTAGCAAAGAACAGAAGATACTGAGTAAGTAAGTAATGAGCCAGATTTCCATTTTTCCTCAGCACGGAGTAGAGATAGACAGAGATGCTGGGCTCACACAGGAAATGGAAACAAAGAGATTTTTTTATTATGCTTGACAAGAAAGAAGAGAAATTCAAATAAGAAGTAGTGGCTAAGGCTGTTGTTGAACAGTCCTGAAATCTCAAGAAAGCAGCAATGCCTTAAAAGAGAGAAAAAGCTACAGAGTTGGATTTTCTCTCTAACGCCAGGCAATGCATGAGACTTGTTTTTTCTCCTGTGGATTTGAGATTATAAATGATAGACTTCAGGCAACTGTCACTGACTGATCAGCATCCTAATGAGACTGGAAGAAAAATGGCTTTTAGTCTTCACCACATCACTCAGAAATCACTAGGATTCTGACTAACACTGAGCAAAATGAAGAATTCATTAGGATGATTTTGGACTTAAGAAATTTGAGTTTGGGGCTTCTAACTCATAAAAAGGACAGTCGAATTTGAGCTTTAATGCCTTCTTGAGTCAGATATTAAAAAAATAAGTTTTGGATTTGAACTTCCTCTCTAGAATTTGATAATCTGATGAGATTTATTCTCAAAATAAAGGTATGTATGTCTTCAGGGTTAGCCCTTTGGGTTAGAGCCATCTCATTCATTTTTTATCAATATTTCCACTTACCATCTGGGTCGTTGCTCTGAAGCTATAATGGACAAATCAACCAGGCATGACAGATTAGGACACAGGAGAGTAGGTGAATTCCGTTGTTGTAGAGTATGAATTTAATTAATGTACTCACCAATCTTAGATCTTAATGTACCCTGGACTTAATTAATGTACTCACCAATCTTAGATCTTTCTGAGGCAAACTCTGTACTGCCCATGAGTGACTTCAGAAAAACTCAAGTTCTCAGTTTTGTAGTGAAGACCAATCCTGAAAAAGTAGGAGCAGAATTTCCTTATAACATTTTTGAGTACCTTCCTGGAGAAAAAGCCCCACCTCTGGTTGGTTATATAGTTCAGTCCAACTAAGAAAATGGGAAACAGAGACTAATTATGGCATAGGAAGCAGGAAAACTTCTTTTACATCCTAAATAGTTCCTTTCAAGCAGAAGAAAAATCATTAGCATTATCATTTTCATACTTGGTCTCTCCAACCATTTACTCCTTCCTCTTTCCTAAAAACATGAAGTAACTTACTTAAATGGCAAATATGGGGGGAAATACCAGGGCTCACTTCTGCCCCATGAGGTTCTTTACCCTGTAGTTTGTTAGCAGAGATTGAGCCCAGGGTCTTTGCCCAGAGGCTAAGTCTCCATACATACATAAATACATCTCTGTGTTTGTGTGTGTGTGTGCGTGTGTGTGTGTGTGTGTGTGTGTGTGTGTGCTCGAGATAAGCTCTTACTAAATCACTAAAATATCCAAGTTGGGCTTAAATTTGCCACCCTCTTGTCCCAACCTTCCAGAGCTTGGTGAGGCAGGAGCCTCAGCATGGGCTAGACAACTGGATGTGATCTGTCAGTTGCAGACACTTGTAACCCCAGGAGCAGAGCAGCAGCACCTGATACCAACCCGAGACTGTTGTCTCCAGTTCTTTGGGCACCTGAACTTCAGGAGAACAAGCAGAGCTCTGCATCTGATACCAATTTCTAACATGAGCTCGAGCCAGTTTTTGATAGGATGGTTTAGAGCTAATGAGAGAAAGAAGATGCAAGAGACACTGCTCAGCTCGCTGCTCCTTTTCCTACCCTGGTCCATGTGCACTCTGCAGAGCACTTTTTCACAGTATCTCCTTCTCCTTTTCCTTCTCCTTCTCCTTCTCGTTCTCCTTCTCCTTCTCCTTCTCCTTCTCCTTCTCCTTCTCCTTCTTCTTCTTCTTCAATACTTCTTTTGTGCTTTTCTTTTTCTTTTGCCCTAAAATGTAAATCTTCCACATTCGGCCACTCTTTCATCGAACTCTTCTGAATGGGACAGTCTAGAAAGGCCTGACTGGTCACAATGATATCCAGTGACGGGATTACAGGTATGTGCCACCTCGCCCCACTTGCAGGGCTTCCTTTTGCAAGTGAGCTGGGCAGAGCTTCTCTCCAGTCCTCCAAATTGTTCATTTTATATATATTTATGTAGTTGTAATTTGTGTAGTTGCGGATTTGATATATGTGGTTGTAATTTGTTCATAATCTAAGAGATGCCACAGAGACCCCCAACAGAATGAGAAAGGAGATACTGAGTCTCATTTTGATAAGGTTTTTGGAGGAACAGACATAGGTCCTTGAAGCCTAAAGTGTGCAAATAATAAAATATATTCATTTATAACCTGATGGGCAAAGTGCCTTCTGCTGACTGCAGTCTCTGAACTTTTCCATAGATATTCTCTATGTGTGTCTCTCAATCTGGAAATCACTGTTGTTCTCCTGAAGGGTAAGGTATTGTGATAGCTTGGACCCTGGAATAAAACCCAAGGAAGCAAGAAATTAAAATTTGGGGAGCAAAGGCTTTATTTCCAGGCCTGGTGGATCAGGATCAGGCCTTCAGGATCCACCCAAAGACTGCACCCTGCAGAGACTGAAGAAAAGGATTTTAAAAGCAGGAGAGGGAGAAAAACAAAACAAAACAAAACAAAAAACCCCCACAGAGCTGTTAAGCTGTTGACTCAAGTTTGGAAACTGTAAAGCTGTCCACTTAGTTCTGATAACATCGGGAGCCTTTGGTGCCTTTCAAGTTACTCCCATTCTGCAGATAAGCATTATCTCGGAATAGCACATCTGCAATAACATTCGGAGAAGAAAATAGAAAGTTAATTATTTTGGGACATCTTGTTAGCAATAACATGTGGAACAGGGGGAGGGCAGTTAATTATCTCAGGACAGCTTGTTAGCACTAACATGTGAGAAGG